AAGTAGTAAGCAAGATGTTACTTGTGACATCATTGCTTACTATGTGTGAAATCTGTGAATGAACACAGACGAAAATTGGCCTGGGCAGAAGGGGGTAAAATGCTCAGTATTGAAGTGGTTAATAACGCTGGTAACATTAGCTGTGTAAACTCACGTTAAAAACGTGAGTTTTTCTTCATGTTTTATCATTTTTGTATTAGCATTTAGCGGTGTTTTGCTGCTTTTTTTGCGCTTGCGGTTTTTAGCTGTTTTATACTTTTTTTGGTCAAAAACACTGGTTTGCCACAATTTATCGCATTTTACCACGTTTTTCAGTGTTAGAACATTATTATAGCTAAAAAACTCCTCTAGAAACCCACTAGTTCTGGGGTTCTTTTTCAGCTAAAAAAAACGCCCCTGCCAAAAAATGTTGATTACAGTCTATGTGTGCATGGACACATAGGATAACATGCTGGGGGGCTTACTAGCTGTAGAAAGAAATGTCAAAAGCCAAAAACAGCAGCTGTAAAAACATCCAGTGTGCATGAGGACTTACACTGCAGCCTGTAAGGCATTGCACCTACAATCTGCAGATCATGAGTGCAACTCCTGACTCCTGCAGACACTAAGCACTAAGGCACTAAGACACTAAGCATTATTGAATGGTAGGAAGCATCAATGGACTAAGAAAACGTTCACCAGTGCCTTGGCAGTTCATTGAGAACTACAAGCTGTCAGCCGCAATGGCTGATGGTACCTGTAGGCTATTCATTCACATACAATTGTGAATGAATGATGTAGCTATGTGTGCAGGGAGAAGATCCCACATCCACTTTCACAGGGAGGGGGAATCGGGGGGGGGGGGGATGGGTAGTAGCCAGGGACGGACTGACCATTTGGAAACTCAGGCACTGCCCGAGGGCCCGGGGTCAGTAGGGGGCCCCATGAGATGCCCCTGGTACCTTTTTCATAGGATTTTTTGAGTTTGGGCAAGGACACAGGGGCCCCATGATCCCCTATTGCCCGGGGGCCCCATGAGTTGTCAGTCCACCCCTGGTAGTAGCTAAATACAAGTGGAACATGTAGGGTGAACTTAACTTATTAGAAGAGGAAGGATTTGTTATATCATCAAACAGACTAGAAGTCTTCAGGAAAAATAATAAGGTATAATGGGATTTTTTTTTTTGTGGAAAAGCGAGTTTATGGGGAAGGGGGGGTGTGGAGGGAAAGGGAAACATGGAGCTGAGCTTTAAAGAGTTAGTTAAGGAGATTTATTAATTTCCGTATTAACACCTCCTCCCTATTCCAGTTTCAAAAACTGCGAATTATTTATATGTGCGACTAGAAACTTCTTTTTTTTTTTTTTTTTTTATAAAATTGAAGTTCTTGGCAGATGCCAATAAGCAGCAGCTTTTCTGTGAATTTGTTCATTTCCCTTGATGTTCCAGAATGCTACAAGTCATACCTAAGTCTGTTTATTTTCACATTTATAATGACTTATATGCATACTACAGCATGCTTTAGTGCTTTACATACTCTGACATTTTGCTTCATCATCACATCACTTATTAATGGTGAATGAAATGTGTACCTTGCCTTTTTTTCTGATCGCAGCATAAATATCTTTAAAAGCAAATGTTTTGCAGTAAATTGTTATAAACCTCAAACGTTTGCTAGTGGGAAGGAAGATTTACTTTTGCTTACCATTCACAGGAATTTTATAAGGATGTGTTCAGGTTAATATAGTGGCATCATCACGTTTTATAAGGGCAAAGGGAGCTCTGATAAGCTGTCATGCAGCTAGCAGTCTCAGGCTGCAGCACCGAGCAGGGAAGATGCTCCCAGGCATTTGCAAAAAGAATAGAGTCTAACAAATTATTTACACTCTTCCTTTCTTCTGTTTCTGACAAGTGCTTGGCATAAGGCCAGAGAAGTACAATACAACTGAATGAAGTACACATAAAAAATGGAGCAAAAACTACAGCACAGGAAGAACACAAAAATGTGGAAGGAAGATGTTTGACATTCATTTTGAGTTAATATGAATGCAAAACTAAAAACAAGAGGAAACATCATGACATCAGAAACAAGGTAGCCATGTACAAATTATCTTTAAACAGCAATTTCAGGCAATAGTCAGAGTTAATTTAAAGTGTTACTAAACCCACAACAGTAAAATCAGTCTGTATATGCAGTAAAGCATACTTGTTATACTCACTGTGGGACCTAAGGGGTTAATCCTCTGCATTGTGTAAAAACACTGTTTGATCCTGATTTCTATGATCCTCCCCTTCTTCCAGTGTCTTCCAGTGTTCTTCTAATAAGAATTGTCATGTGGAGACAATCTGCACATGCTCAATTTGGTGTGTATTACTAGAGAGGTTTTTTTTTTTTTCTTGGGAGAGTGCATGTGATCAGCACAGGGCCAATCAGCACTGTCCAGACATAGGTCAAGGGTCCTTCTACAGCAGAATGAAAACTCTTCCTACAAGCTTTAACCAGTGCTCAGCCGAACACTAATAGATGTCACAAGACTGCTATATACTGCTGATGAGAAAAGGTATTTAGCAGTTTATATTTATTAAATAATTGCACTTCCATGTTCTGTGTACTGTGGGAGACCAGATATAGTGAATGCAGGGTCCTGGGTTTAGTAACACTTTAATTTACCTTACCTGTGTTCACTGTAATTTTGCAAAAAACCACATGCACCTCAATACTAGATTATTAGGAGGACAGAAGGATTAGACTTCTTGATGTCTATGTTGAGTAACATCCTTTCTCTCTGTCTTTGTTTTTTTGTACTGATTGTTCCAAAACATACCTAAACCCCCTTTCATATGAGCTCCTGATTGGAAGATCCATGCAGGTCTACAAGTAAATGGATGTAAACAGACTTGTGTCCATTTACATCTACCTACATCCAAGTGTGTCCAAAGGAAAACAGAAAATAATGGCATCCTTTTCCATTTTTATAGAACTTTATGCAGACAAAGACAAAACTGAGTGAATGTCAGAAAAAAAGGATATCCATCTCGTTCTTCTACTAATGAGCAGAGGATCCCCTGTTTAACAGAGTAGAGAAACCACCTGTAAAAGGACCCTTACTGGTAGACTCAAGTATGGAATTTACCCCCACACCCCATCAGTACCTTCTCTTTCTCCTTTACAGCATTGTATTTACTGCTTAATCACAGGAGCTCTTTAGAGTAGACTTTTCAGGGCATTTATGGTTCTCCATGAACAAATTCCTGACCTGAACAATATGCAGTTAAAGTATCATTTTTCAATAATGATGTACCTTTTATTACTAAAGGGGACAACAAATCAAGGTCCATCTATTTATTCAGGCCTCCACCATGCCAAAAGATTGCAATTAACCCCTTAATGGCTGAAGGTAAAACAAACCTTACCACATGAATGCAGTTTTGCAACTTTGGCATGCATATCATTGCAAATACTTTGTGTATTCAGGAGAAATATACTTAGTTGTTTTCAGGCTAAACTGGGCCTTCAATGGGTGATAAATTACAATGGAGATCTCCAGATTTTTTTTTTTACTACAAAAACTATCCCAAAATAATAAATTAAAAAATATATTATTACAGATACTTATATAGCGCCGTCAATTTACACAGCGCTTTACATATATATTTTACATTCACATCAGTCCCTAACCCTCAAGGGGTGTATAATCTAAAGTCCCTAACTTACATTCACATACTAGGGTCAATTTAGAGAGGAGCCAATTAACCTACCAGCATGTCTTTGGAGTGTGAGAGGAAACCGGAGTAAACCCAGGCAGGCACAGGGAGAACATGCAAACTCCAGGCAGGTGGTGCTGTGGTTGGGTTTTGAACCAACGACCCTAGTACTGCCAGGCGGAAATGCTTTGTCATGATCAACCACTCAAAAAAACAAAACAAAAAAATTACTCCTACTCCACAGGTTTGTGAAAATACCACGTGTAAATTTGTTTTAATTGTTTGTGCCCCTAGTAGGGCCAAAATACAATAGTGTGCATTTTCTTTTTTCTTTTTTCTATATATCTTACACAAACACACTGAAATTTATACTGATTTATTATATCATTTATTATCAGTAGTAATTTATTTTACACACTTTTTTTCCCCCTCTGGAAATGCAATGTACAGTGTACTTGTAAAATTAAAAGTCCCAGTATGACTTGAATGCCCTTCGTATATATATATATATATATATATATATATATATATATATATATATATATAGCGCTTCAGAAGATGGGCCGCTTCCATGGCACAGAAAGTAAAAAATAACATGTGGAGTGAAAAGTTAGTAAATATACCCACCTTACCCCATGTTTCTTCACTATAAGGGGTGATGCCACTATCTTTCTGGTAAGATCCCAGGAAATGCTGAGCACCACAAATCTCATGAGAAGATGCTCTTGCCCTGTGTTGCAGCATCATCTCACAAGATTTAAGTACCCAGCGGTCTTCAGGATCTCGCCAGAAAAATTATGACATCACCCTCCATATGCAACATAGGCAGAAAGTTGTGTTCTGGTGACTTACTCTTTAAAGTAAGCTCTTCAGGATAAATACTGTAGCTACTTACTTTTAACCTCCCTAGCGGTATGATTATTTTAGATTTTTGGTGCTGAAAGCAGTACCATTATTTTTCATGGAAATATGTAGTTTTTTTATTGTAGGCTGTAATTTTTAGGAATAACTCACTGAAATCTATCTGAACAGGAGTCTAGTAAACATCCAGGGTATGATAAAATTTTAAACACGAAATCATAAATTATAATTTAATAAATAATCATAAAAAATAATAATATAATAATAATACATTTAATTCAATAATATAATCAAACCAAAAACACTGAAATTTGAAATATAGCGCCAAGTTCGCACATCACTGAGCAAAGTCGCAAAATTTCTGATTTACTATCGCTGTTCTCTAGTTGGTCTAAAACCGCTTTTGACCTAAAGGGACACTTTTTGGACGCCATGGACTTTTCTAAGTTTCCAGGCAGAAAGAACAGTCAAAATGCAGGCAGGGCACAGGACAAAGCACTAGGGACAAAATGTATGTGAAATGGTTTGAAACAGCAATGTTTTACTATGTAAAATTCGTTTAGAAAAAAAATGACATTTTTTTTAAATTTTAAAAATTTCCCGCCCGTACGTCCCGACGTCACAGGGACCAGAACACAGAAGCCGGATGCTGGCATCGGCCGGAGGAGATAGCCGGGGATGCTGCAGGGGACACATCGCGGGAGGGAAGGACAAGGTAAGCTCTGCAGGGAATCCCTATGCAGCGCCGCATGTTAAGCCTGAGTGTAGCTCGGGGTTACTGCTTTTGGTACAGACATTTTACCCCGAGCTACACTCGGGAATACCGCCAGGGAGGTTAAGAAAGAGTTATTATTATTATTATTATTATTACCGGTACTTACATAGCGTCATCAATTTACGGAGCACTTTACATATATATAGTACATTCACATCAGTCCCTAACCCTCAAGGGGCGTACAATTTAAGGTCCCTAACTCATATTCATACATACACATACTACGGCCAATTTAGACAGGATCCAATTAACCTACCAGCATGTCTTTGGAGTGTGGGCAGAAACCGGACTACCAGGAGGAAACCTACGCAGGCACAGGGAAAACATGCAAACTCCAGACAGGTGGTGCCATGGTTGGAATTCGAACCGACAACCCTAGTACTGCCAGGCAGAAGTGATAACCAGTTAGCCACTGTCCTGCCCAAGAGTTCTGTATCAACCCCATGGAGTACAGCATTGTCTTCCCTACAACCAATTCTTCCAAGGAATGTGGATCTCTGGTGCTGAAATCTTGGATTTGGGAGTTGACTGTGACTTCCTGATGACAAAATCAAAATTGAGCAGCACGGTGAGACTGGTCCTGCAGCCTCCTGGACTGTATGAGTTATTCCAGAAGGCTGCTGCCTGGGGACAGGGGAGGTGGGGTACGGCAACATCATTCATTACCTGTCAAGAAAAGTACTCTTTCCCCTCTTAAAAAAAAAAAAACCTGAAATTTAGATAATGGTTGGGGGAGGAATACAATATAAGCAACTCTCATTATCAGGTGAAGAACCACCCTTAATTTGTTATGCCATGTTTCATGGGATCATATAGTATTTCCTTTCAGGGAGGCAAAACTGTACTAGCTCCATGCATTTCTATACTTAAACTAAAAACAAACAAACAAAACAATAAAAAACTGCTACACACCACCCTATAAAATGATGACTCTGTAAACTGCCTGTTATTATAAAGTATATGTCATGTCAAGCTATATCTGCCAACAATTCTTTGAATCCCAGCATGCACCACAAGCCAATGTCACACTTGGAAATTGGCAGTAGGCATATTTCTATCTTGCAGCATTTTAGCAAAGGATAAATTACATCGTTAAAAATATATTACACTCCTACATGCACTTAAACAGTGTCTTGCTAGCAAAGTATCATTTTCTGTTTCTTAATGGGGAACGTTTGCATAAAAATGTACCATTGCAATGCACCACATGGCTATTTTTAGCATTAAGTAGCTGTTTTCTCCACAGGTAGCACTTGTGGCCTCTTTATAACCAAAGCATTCTGCAGCTAGAAATGGCCATTTTCTGAGTGTCTACGCCTGGGTTATATGCAAATGTAGTGAGAGGAGCAGAATTAGTTTAAAGCAAGAATTTCAAATGCTTGCAAGAACAGGTCTTAACCTGGTACAATGGCCCTTTGCATCTACTGTTTATAATCAGTGTCTACTACTCCCCTGCTTAGCAGAACAATGCTATATTGTTCTTTTTCATACTGTTCTTTAAGACTACAATGCAAATGCATAATTAGAACCTTGTAACCAATGTAGCTTTTATTGGAAGACTTTCTGAAAGTACTGCAATTTAAATATTTGATTATCCTGTAATTTGTTAAACTGTCTTGAATTATTTGTTTATTTAACCACTTCCCGTCCGGCAGGATGGGAGCAGTGCAGGAGCGGGTTGCCGTTCATAAACGGTGCCCGCTATTTTAGGCTGTGCGCGCTCTGTGCGTGCTCCCTGGGAGCGCGCGGCACCGTGATCCAGTGCCTGCTGTGTCCTCCGAACACAGCGGAACACCTCTCTGTGTGAGGTCCCGATTCATGTGATCACTGATTGGCCAATCAGTGATCACATGAATAGTAGTAAACAAGATGGGACTTCCTGACATCATTGCTTACTACGTGTGAAATCTGTGAATAATCACAAAGATCACATGGTACAAGGCTATTTACAACAGCCTTGTACCATGTGACAAGCTGTGATCAATCACAGCTCTCACAGTATTTCTCAATGGCTGCAAGAATGCAGCCAGAGAGAAAGAGAAATGATTGCTTTTACAGCCTTTATGGGCGTAAAAGCAATCAGTGTAAAAAAAAAAAAAAAAATCTTCATCACCCCCCACAAGTAGTACAGTGTCACTATGATGACACTGTACTGCTAGCCTCCTTAGCGGTAATCCCGAGTGCAGCTCGGGGTAAAATTTCTATACCAAGAGCGGTAACCCAGCACTTACCTTGTCCTTCGCTCCCGCGATGTGTCCCCTGCAGCGTCCCCGGCAATCTCCTCCGGCCGATGCCGGCATCCGGCTTCTGTGTTCCGGTCCCTGTGACGCCGGGACATACAGCCGCCGTAACCGGCGGGAAATTTGAAATTTTTTAAAAATGTCATTTTTGCTGTCATTGCTGTTTCAATGCATTTCACATATATTTTGTCCCTACTGCTTTGTCCTGTGCCCTGCCTGCATTTTGAATGTTCTTTCTGCCTGGAAACTTAGAAAAGTCCATGGCGTCCAAAAAGCGTCCCTTTACGTCAAAAGCGGTTTTAGAACAGCGATAGTAAATCAGAACCACTTGCAGAATTGAGTAATAATGATTCGTGGGGAAATTCGCCATCAGACACTGAAAACGATTTTGTGACTTTGCTCAGCGATGTGCGAATTTGCCTCTGGATTTCACATTGCAGTGTTTTTGGTTTGATTATATTATTGAATTAAATTTATTATTATTATATTATTATTTTTTATGATTATTTATTAAATTATAATTTATGATTTTGTGTTTCAAATTTTATCCTACCTGGGATGTTTAATAGACTCTTGTTCGTACAGATTTCAGTGAGTTATTCCTAAAAATTACAGCCTACAATAAAAAACTACATATTTTCATGCAAAAAAATGGTACCGCTTTCAGCACAAAAAAATTGGAAAGAATCATACCGCCAAGGAGGTTAAGGTGACAGTATGTTAAAAAAAACACAAATAATATTTTTATTATTATTTTTATTTTTATTTACTAAATAGATAACTGAATAAATTATGGCCAAGATTTATAAAGAAAGATTATTTATTTGCAAAATTTTATAAGAAAAACACTTTTTTCAACATTTTTGGAATTTTCCATTTATACAGCAAAAAAAAAAATCCCAGTGGTGAATAAATATCACCAAAATAAAGTTTTATCTGTCTCAAAAAAAATGCTAAAAAATTCATATGGGTGTTGCATGACTGTGAAATTTTCATTCAAAGTGTGACAGCGCTGAAAGCTGAAAATTGGTCTGGACAGGAAGGGGTAAAAGTGTCCGGACTTGAAGTGGTTAAAGAAAAATTATTATTATTATTATTGTAGTTATCCTTTAAATGCCCCCAACCAAGTCTTACGCTTACCTGTCCTCTCAGTAGAAGGGACAGGTAAGTGTTGACTTGGAGGATGGAAGTTTATGCTGAACAGCTAAACAAACAGCTAAATTCACAGATGGAATATATACATGCAAGCTAATTTATTTGCCAAGGAGAGGAGACCTGCACTGTTGTAGGTTTATTTTCACTTGCAAATCTCCTCTCCAAACCCCATTTCGTCCTTGTGATTGAACACTGAAAGTAGCTCCAACTGCTTTATACAACAATAAATAATAGCTGATATGGAAATTAGCCTTTTTTGTTAAAAACATTGCCCACTAAAAATAAATTAAAGGATAAGTTCACCTTTTGGAACATGTTCCACCTATATGTGAGGTGGAACATGTAATATGTTCCAGCTCTAGCAGCCAGTTTCCCTAATCCCACCCTCAGTGTGACAGTGGGTGGGGGATCTCCTCCCCTCACCTGCTGTCACAATTTAAAAAGAGTGAGGTAGTGTGGGGCTCCACCCACATGGCTGCATCATTCATTCATTCACAGTTTCCTGTGAATGAATGAACAAACTACAACTACCATCATCCACCACAATTGACTACTTGTGCTTCTGAATGAACTGTAAGGGAAGTGATGAGAGCTCTCGTAGTTCATTTACAAACCCTGAAGCTTTCAAACAGACAGCCCATATGAAGGTATGGGTCTTGTCTGCAGAACTCTGATATTGCACCCCTGATCCACTAATCATGGGTGCAATTATTCACAGGTTCCTGCAAGAAAAAATAATAAATCCACATTTTTTTCTGCAAAAATACTGTACTTGTATTTATTATTGTTATATATTTTTGTATTGGAAAAGTGAACTTATTCTTCAAAATAAAAATCAGGTCTTACTGAAATATTTATCCTATCTCCAGTACAGTTCTTGCTGAAAGGCCCTTCTCTACAAATATATGGTGCTGTTCTGTTGTCTGTTGTTTGTGCTGTATAAATGATGACCAACATCATTCAACCCACTTCCTGTGATTCCAGAGGGTCAAGGACTAGACTTTTAGGGGCACATCATCCGGACGCCTTGAAAAATAAGAGAATGCTGCAGAGAGTAGCATCACATCATTACATAGCACCCTTTTGTACAGTATTCAGGATCTGCCCACCACAGAGGTCAAGAGAGAAGGTAGAGGAGCATGTATGAATGCTCCTTTTCTTTTAAATCAGGGTGGGGATGCTCCAAGGGGTGGGAAGTGTAGATCACTAAATAAGGGTTGGGATTAGGGGAACTGAATCTGGGCTTAAATTAGTTAAACACTCATTGTAACAGTCGGCCTAACATTAAAGGTAACTAAGACAACACAATTTTTCAAATAAGCTTAGGACAGCAGCAGCTCAAACCCAATAGCAAATGAAACCTAACTGTTTTACGTTGTGCAAACCTGTAACACTTACTTGATTTTGTGATTGAGGTGCTTGTTTTACTTTTGGTGATTAAGTGACCAGTAATCACCCATTTTTACAAAAGGTTGGATGAATCTTCTAGCCTCGACACCCACCAATAAAAAAAAGGTCCCCAATGCACCACACAGAGTTTCCTTTTGAAATGGGTCCTACTGCCATTTACTGTCCTTACCCAAAACCTTTGTCTGATATTATATTACCAAAAACTTGCACACTATGC